CTTTTATTTAAAAAAAATTATATTGTATTGTAATAATGTATATATGTATACGATTTAATAATAATAATTATTTTTTTTTTATTAATTGGTAAATTACAAAATATTAATTTTTTTTTTTATTAAAATTTTATTAAGTAAAATGCAAAAATAAATTTAATTTATTTATATATATATAAAAAAATAAATAATTATTATAATATATATAATCGATATATTTACAAATTATTATTCATTATTTCTATTAATTTATTTGTTCTTAACTTATGTTTACTTAATATATAAAGTATTTTTATAGTTAATGTATTTTAAAAGCAATAGTATTAAACAATTCGTTGCTTAGAGTTTATTTTTATATATATAATTCATGAAAACTTTTAAGTTATGCATAGTTATTTTTATATATTTCATCAAACATAAGGAAAATTTCTTTAAATTATACAAATAAATTTTAAATACTATTAGAATTTTATTTTTAGTTTTTAAGAGTTTCATTTAATTTTTAAAAAGAGTTACATTTAACAATTAAATCTAAATCAATTTAATAATTTGATTGTTCAATATCTACTATAGACAATTATAAATTTCCATAAATGATTTTTCTTATTTAATCTAGTTTTTTAGATAGAACATCTAAAACTTAATTGATATTAAAGCATTTTGCTCTGAAAAATTCTTTGTAGTTTTTTTGTAAAAATCTGTGTTAAATTTACATATTATTATTATTATTATTTTTTTTTTTATTTTTTTTTATTAAAAATATACTTTAATATTTATTTTTTAAATTCTTTTTTATAATTTAATATTTTCATCTATATTTATAATTATAGACAAACACATAATATCTTAAATATTATAAAAAGAATTAAAATAATTTTTTATCGACAAATTTAATATTGTTAAATATAATTTCAGTAAGCAAATTAAATATTATTTAAATAAAATTAGAATTATTAATTATATAAATATCCAGTAGTTTTTAATTAAGGTAAATAAATTAAAAAAAATATTAATAAATATATGTAGAAATATATAAAAAATAAAAATAGATATTTTTATTAATAGAATCGAAATAAAATAAAGATATAAAGAGTCTATAACATAATAAAATAAACCATATTTCAATATATATAGATTAAGTAATATTAAATAGAAACAGATATAAAATATTATCATTATTATATCTAAAATTTTTTATGTAATTTATTAATATATTTCGTAAGAAAATTAATAAGAGTATTTCTTATAAAAAGAAAATTTTCATAGTTTATTTTTAATAGTTTAATAAAAAATATATTTTATATATAAATTTAAATCAAAATTATTTTTATTATTTATTAGGTAATTTTGTATTATATATATTGTTATAATAATAATTTTTAAATTTTTAAAATAAAAAAAAATATATTTTATTTAAAATATTTTATAAATATAAAAAAATATAAAATATCGCACTATCTTCTAAATTATTTTTAAATATTAATAATTTTTATGATTAAAATTAATATTATTTTTTAAATTATTTTTAAAATTTTTAACAATTATTTTTTCTTTTATTCTTATTCTTAAAATTTCAAAGTATTTATATTTTAATAATTCAATTATTTTTAATTTTAAAAATAAATAATATTTTTTTTTTTATATGATTTCATTAAATATTTATAATGAATATAATATAAAAAAATATATATTATATTATTTATTATCATATATTTTATATTTTTAAATTAAAAATAATTTTAATAATCTATTTTATAAAAAAACATAAAATATTTTTAATGATTATATAATTTGTTCGCATCTAATAAATTTCTATTATTATAATATCATTTAAAAGGCTTCGAAAATTCTTATTATTACTATTTCATTATTTGATAATTATTTATTTTAGTTAATATAAATATTATATAATTATCTAATGAAAAGAATAGAAATTAACAAAGAAAAAATAAAAAATATAATTATTGATTGTATTAATAATTAATTAAGAAATAAATATTATAATTATATAATTAATTTTTAAAATATAATATAAATAAATGTAATTTTTATAAATGTCTTACTTAAATGTATATTTTTAATTGAATAATATTGTTTATAAAAAACTTTAAAAGTTTACATTTATTTTTATTTTGTTATAATAAATAAAAACATTATTTTCTGTATTAATTTAAATCATTTAAAAATATTTTTTTTATTTAAGATATTATCATTTTAAAATAAATATATATAGTCGTACTATTTAATTAAAATATTAATCTATTTAAATTATTAAAATATATTTAATTGGTAATATTTTAAATTTTTATATTAAATTAAAATTTATTTTATACATTTAATTAATAAATATCTTTAATAATTTTTTATCTTTCTTTTATTTTTATTACTTATACTTAACTTGTATAGATGAAAATTATAGATTATTTCTTAATCTAATATTTTTTTGATAAAATATAATAAAATAATTCTTATAATTTTTTTTTAATAATATTAATGTAAGTAATCTTAATTACATATATAATAAATACCATTTATGATGATAAATAAAATTATATGCGCTTTTTGCTTTATTTTTAATAACTAATCCAATTTTTATAAAAATAATAATAATTTTATAATCAAAAAATAATTTCATAATAACTTTTTAAATACATATATTTAATAAAAATTATTATAAATTTATTAGTTATAAATATAATTTTATATTTATATTTTCTTTTCAAATTTATTTAGAAAATATTTAACATTATATTTTTTTATAAATACTTTGTTTATAACATACTTAAATATTATTTATTAAAATAGTTCTTAAATGATTTTCAAAAAAATATATTTTATGAAAAATTATATTGAATAAATATGTTAAATTTGAAAAAGAATAATATTTATTTTTAATTTTCTTAATTTTGTCTTTATTTAATAAACTATATTTTTATAAAATAATAATATTATAAAAAAAGGCTTTTTAAAATAAATAATAAATTTAAATATGATATAATTTTTCTACAAACATATTTTTTAAAAAAATTAAATTTGTTGAATATTAGAAAATATTACATAATACAATAAATAATATAGAAATAATTAAAAATTAAGAATAAAATTTTTAATTATTATTTTTATATATAATAATATATTAATTTAAAAATATATATGGCTGAAAATGTATAAGAAATAATTTTTCTCTAGAAATAATGTTCCTTTCTTTTTATTTACAATAATAAGTTTTTTTACAGTATATATTTATAAAATAAAATAAATATTTTAAGCATACTTAATTGATTCTTTTTTAAAAATAGATTTTTTATTAATTATTTAAATAAATGATAATAAACTATATTTAATTAGAATATTTTTCAAAATAATTTATATATTTAACTCATTTCTATTGAGTAATTAAATTTTTATATATTTATTTATTAATTATATAATGCATAAATTAAAAAATATTTTATTAATATATAAAATTATTATTTTTATTTTTTTAATTTTATATTTTAATTATTTATATATTATATATTATGTATTAATTATATTAATTTATTAAAATAAATAAATATATATTTATATAACAATATTCATATTTATTTAAATTATAATTAATTGCTATTTAAGATATATTAAAAAAATATTATATACATAAATGCAATATTTAAAAGGTAATTCTATTGATAATTTTTTATATTTTTATTATATACTTTTTTTGTTATAAAAAAAATTATTTTTTCCTTTTTTATTTTCTCAAATAGTAAAAATAAAAAAAAATATATAATTAATTATTTCCAAAATAATATAATATTTTGATATAATTTTTTTTTTTTTTTTTCGTAAATAAACAAATTTAAAAATCCTATTTAATTTTCTTTTATTTAATTATATAATTATTTATATTATTATTCGTTTTATATTTAATATTTTTTAAAAAAGATTAATACAAATAAATAGAAAGTAATACTCTAATCAAGTTTTTTGAGAAATTAATAATACATTTCTTCAAATTATTTTATATTATTCTACACTTTTATAATTCATATATTTATTTATTTTTTTCAATTAGAAAACTTATTCTTTGAATATTATTTATTATATAAATATTATAAATATATATTGATTAGGAAATACATAATTTTTTAATTTATAAATTTCATATAATAATGTAATAAATTGACAGATTTTTTATATAATCAACTAATTTCTGCTAGATAACATTTAATCTAAAATTTATTTTTAATTTTTAGTGATTTTTTTTTATTATTAATTGATTTAATTCATATATTTATTTTTTTGATTATCTTAATATAATTAATAAGTGTTTTAATTGATTGTTTTTTTTAATATTATAAAGAAAATATATATAAACTATTTTTTGTAGTAAAATATAAATAAATATCTAAATTATTATATTTTTGTTGTATTTAATTTAAATTTTATATATACATATATATTTTATTATTACTATTAATATACTTTTATTAAAAAAAATTAAATAACAGTAAAAATATAGAAATAATAAAATTTAAATTTAATTATTTTATCCTTTTCAATTTTATTAATAAATATCTTAAAAAAATCTATCTCTAACAAATTTTATACTTTGAGCCCTATCCTTAGTATTTTCTTTAAAGATTTTATTTTTTCTTAATATTCATTTTACACTAAAAATATAAAAATAACATTCATACACTAAAGCTCCAATAATTTTAAAAGTTAACTAACTCTAAAAAATAAGCTAAAGCAGTCAAAATACACGGTTTTATATATGATTTAAAATTATTCTAAAATATATCACTAGTAAGTATAAGTGCAAATAAGAAAGCAAAAACAATATTAATTAAAAACCATTTACATACAAATTAAAATTTTATTAGTTTACTTCTTATTTATAAATCATTTTTTTAATCTATAAAAATAATATATATATATATATATATATATATATATATATATATATATATTTTTATTTATATATTTATAATTTTTTTTTTTTTATATATACATTATACCTGTATTTTTTGTTCCCCATGATAAATCATCTATTCTACATATAGCATAAACTAAAAGTAAATGTACATATGTCGCTTAATATGCAATAAAATCAAAAGTACATTTCATTGTTTCTAAAATTCTTGTAGGATATATTAAAATTGGTACTAAATTTAATAAAAATCCAAAAACTACTAGTCCACAAAATATTGTTTTCAAAATGCCATCTTCCCATTCTGTTAATATACCAATATTACTTAATTCTGTAATTGAAGCATGCAATAAATATTTCTAAACCATATAATAAGCTATTTCAATAATATAATAAGTCATAAGACATACAGCAACAATCATTATTATTCCTATTTTTATATATAAATTTTTTATATAAGCATTTTACCTAAAAAAGTTGATATTTTATAAAAATTTCTTTAAACTTAATGATTTTGATTATTAAATGAAATTGAGTAAAACATAATTCCTAAAATACTCATAATATAAAGAGTTATAAAAACTGTTGTCCCAAATATTTAAAATATAGGATCATGCCCTTATTAATATCCACTTAAAGTAACTTAAGTAACTGATGTCATAACCATAATAAATACAATTACAAAAAATAATGCGACTGATATATATGTCATAGCCTTTTTTATTTATATAATATTTTTTTATAATTATTATTATTTTATTACATTGCTTAACCATGCAAAAGACATGCAAATCTTAAATTTAACCAATTCAAAAGCTGAATGTGAAGATTCATAAATAATACTTGATTTTTCAAAAGCTTTTTTAATGCAAAGTATGAACCATTAATCCATCTTCCTATATATAAATTTATTAATATGAGTTTTAATTTTTATTAGTTTTTTTATTATTATTACTTCTTTATCCCACTAAGGCCATTAAATGTGTAATTGGATCTACTCTAGCTTTTGCATTTGGAAGATATCTTAATGTATAGGCCTTTTTTCTTTTAGAAAAAATTTTTAAACATAAAATTCTATCCTCGGCTAAAAACATATTCTTTTATTCTAAAGTTAAAATAATATCAGGATCTAATTCACTTATTAAATATTCATCTAAAATACATTCACCATCATCATCTCTTTTTAATGCATCCCATCTATATCCACTAAATGCGCCAGGTAAAACCTTTATTATTTGAATATTAAAGAAAAATATATATATATATATAAATATATATATATATATATATAATATTAATATATTAAAATACATATATATATATATATATATATATATATATAATTTGTTAATTATTTCTAGTTATATATACATATAATTGTATGGATATTAATTATATAGTATATAAACTTTTTATATCATCTTGGCTGCTAGAAAAAACTTCTATTTACAACTACCGTAATAATTTAAAAATAGAAATAAATAATATTTTAATAAATTAATTAATTATTTTATTATAAATTTATATATGATTTTTTTGATTTATTATTATATATACATTTACTTACTTATATATATCCAAATAAAGATTCAAAAGGTTTATCTAACATATGACCCATATTATATTCGTACATTTAAGCTTTTTAAATAGAGAATATATTTTAAAACGCATGAGATATAGGATCTATTATTTCCTATTTATATCCATCATCTTTTTATTTATTATTTAATTTTTTTTGTAATTTTTTTATTTTATTTACTTCTTATTATAGCTTCTGAATATACATCTTAAAATTTTATTCCCATAAAACCACATACTCCTCCTATATTTTTATCTGTTTCTAAAGCTATATACATGTTAATAATTGCTTTTTAATCAGGAATTAAGCCACAATCCATTAATATAGTATAATCTGGTTGAAAAATTTCACAGAAACCACAAAAAAACCATAAATGACTAGAAAGTTTTCCTCTATTTTTAAATTTTACGCAATGAAAAATATTCAATGCATCATTCTATTTAAATTTACATATAAAAATAAGTATATAAATAATATATATATATATATTATATATATATATATATATATATATATTTATATATATATATATAACTCTATATATTTTTATTTACTATATCTTCATGGCTTTCGTCCATATCTGTAAATTTAGCTAGGCTTCTTCTGGTTTAATAACACCTTATTTTAAATATATATTAATAAAGGTCTTAATGTTATTTTATTTTTATTTACCATGCCGAATTTTCAGTTTCTTTTAAAGATTTAATACTTTTTTCTTTTTAATCTCTTAAAAATTATACTTTTTTTTAATTTTCACTTCTATTATCTTAATTATTTGATTTCTATTCTAAATAATAATCAAATTGTTTTTTTAAGTCATCCCTTTATTTAAAAATTGGAAATTCATTTTCTTTTTCCATTACATCGACATTTATTTTTGAGTTTTGTATGTCTTTTAAATATTATTCATATTAATATTTAATTGTATTTTTATAATCAATTCCTATAACCTCATCCTACAATCTTTTTTATTCTTTTTTCATATATTAAAAAAAAATTTACTTAAAAAAACTTAGCATATTTTCATCAACATTATCTGAATTATTTAATTTCTCTATACCATCATATACAACTACTACTAATATTTCCTCATTTAAAATATTCAATTCATTTTTAAAAAAAACCATATTTTTTATTATTCCATCTAGACTTTTTTCTTTAATTTTTATATTTTTATTTTTTTAAGTTTTTGTTTTGTTTATTATACCTAATTCATTACAAGGCTCATTATACATAGTTATACAAATAACTACTTTTGGTTTCATTTTTCTACCAAATTAATTTTAGGAATTATTATTATATATAGAAATTAATCCGTTTCCTATATCTTCATTATTTTATATAGATTGAATTTAAGTGAAGTCAGATTAGTCTAAATTTCTTGCTTTTAACTCAAATTATTATTGATTTTCTGTTTTTTAAGGATCTTTAATTTATTTTGATTTTTATAATTGTGAATGTATTTTTTATTTTAACTTTTAGATAATTTAAGTTCTATTGGTTAATATATTAATTTCCTTTTTTGGTTTTATTTATGAAATTCAATATCAAAAACAGTTAAGTTTAATGTTTTATTATAAGACATATCTTTATTATTTTGTATTTGTAAATATTTTATATATTCTATTATAATTTTTTTTTTTTAAAAAAAAAAAAATATTAATGAAAAATTAAAGTTTTTTCTATATAAAAAAAAAATATAAAATTAATAAAATATGTATAATACATTTAAAGATAAAAATATATTAAAAAAATGATATTTTTATTAAAATAATAATATAAATTTATTATTATTATGTTTTTTATTATAATTATTATTATTAAAATTAATATTTTCTTTTAATTATTATTGAATTTTTAATTATTATTTATATTATTATTTTACTTTTTTTTTAATATTTTTTTATTATTAAAAATGTTTATGATATAATATATATATATAAATTAAATTTTTATATTTTTTTATTTAAAATTAAAAGCATTATTATATATATATTAATATTAAAATTATAGTAATTTTCATAGACAACTATATCTTCCTTTAGAAAATATAACACTTTTTATATCTTCTCTAGTATATTTTTTTTTATTTTCTTCTACTAATTCATTTTTTGTTTCTATTATTTATTATTTAAATTCTATTTTTTTCTGTATTTTATCAACATGATTTTAAATGTCTTACATATCTTTTAAATTCACATATTTTATTAAATGACTTAAAATATCAAAAATGAATATTATTGATTCTTTGATAAATCTACTACTTTATTTTATTATTTAATCTTCAGTTTATTCATCTAATTCAAGTTTATTTAAAATATCATATAAATATAAATGAATCTATATATATTATATAATTATATATATATATAAATATATATATATATATATATAATCTATATATATATTTATATATTTTATTTTTACAAGAAATCTTGGATATATTATTAATAATTTCAAAATTAATACAAAAGAAATTCCAAAAGGAAATATTTCAGCAATCCCAAATATAAATATATGAAAAATTTAAAAAAATATAAATATTACCCATCTTTAGAGTATAATTCTTAATTATTTAAATTTTTATTTTTATTATTCTTGAAATTCTTAAGCTTCTTCTTATTTTTTCATTTTAATTTAATTAAATATGTCAATTTCTTTAAATGTTTAATAACTTAATACTATATAACCTAATTAACTATTATTATATTTATTTAACTATTGATTTTTTTAAAAAATAAATACTCAATGAATAATGAAATTTGAGTCATTTTTATAAAATATTTAAGTTTTTTGATTATTTATATATTTTTAAGATATAAATAAAAATAATATTTTTGTATTTTATAAATATTAGATTTTATATATATATAAATAATATTTATTCTTATAAAAAAAAAAAAAGTTTAAACATAAAAAATAATAATAATGATTTATATATAGAAAAATAAAAAAATCATTTAATATAAATTAATTTAAAAATATATAATATAATTATATATAAATATTTATATATTTATATATTTATATATTTATATATTTATATATTTATATATTTAATTTATTTTTAAATATAATGATTGAAGAATTACTTCTTGAAAATACATGGGTTAAATTAGAATAATCAGGATTTATTCCTTGCCCAAGATCAGGCCACTCAACATGTCTTTATAATTATTAATATATGTATATTTTTGGTGGATATTCTGATTAAGAAGTATTAAATGATATGTACCGATTTGATATATAAATAAAAGTAAAAAAAATATAAATAAATATTTATATTTAATAATTATTTAAATTAAAAGGAATGGTAAAAGGTTGAATATAAAAATACTAATATATAAGAAATTCCATCAAGTATTATTTAATTTTTTTTTATATATTTTTTATTTTTTATAAAGATAGATCTTCTTCATAAATGTGTTGTTATTCGGAAATCGGAAAAATATATTTATTTGGAGGAACAGGATAAGAAATTAATGATTTATCAAAAAAGTATTAAGAAAATAAATATGTTTTATATATTATAATTAAAAAAATAGTTACTTATATTAATTTGATATAAATACAAAAATATGGAAATAAATAAAAACAGGATAATTAGTGCCTTAAGAAAGATTTGGTCATTCATTAATTCTTTATAATGAGTTAGATATATAAAATTTTTTTTTTTTTTTTATAATAAATAAAAGTTACTTAATTTTATTTGGAGGAGTAAAAATTTATAAAGCAAACGGAAAAATAATTTCTGAATATCAAAATGATTTATGGATGTTTTCATTATTAGATAAATATTGGAGAAAAATTATACCTAATGGCGGAAATCCACCTTCTCCAAGATATAGATAAGATTGTTTTGTTTATAATAATGCATTTTATGTGGTAGGAGGAGGAACTGTAGAAGATAGATACAGTGCAATTTTCAAATATGAATTTAGTTAAAATTAATGGGTTTAAGTATATACGCCTAGTACTAATAATTTGTAAAAAAAAATATATGTAAATTTAATAATATGTTATTTTATAAGACAAAGTAATATATTTAGAGGAAGATTAGGTCATTTTTCTTTTATATAGAATGATGAAATTTATATATACGGGGTGATAATATATATATATATATAAATATATATATATATATATATATTTATATATATATATTTTTAATATTTTTTTTTAATATTTATTTTTAATTAAATATTTTTATTTTTTTAGGGTATTGAAAATTAAATTTGTGAAGATTCTATTAAATATTCTTTAAGTTTAAAAACATGGAAAAAGCATAATATTAAAGGGTATTTATATAAATTTATTTATACATATTTATTTTTAAAAAAAAGTAAGTAACCTAAACCATGTGATTTTTTTAGTGCTTGTAAATTAAAATACTCAGTAATTATTTTCGGAGGTAAAATAAATTCTAAAAAAACAAATGAAATTTACGTTTGGAATATTAATATACCTTCTTCATCTATAAAAGATTGTACTTTATAATAAGAAATGGTAATTACAATTTTATTTATAATAATAAAAAAATTATTATATCAAGTTAAATTTATATTATCTAGAAAATAATTTATCTGATATGGAATTAAATAATATTTAAAGTGACAAAGTTTTAAAAGGTCATTCATATATAATTAAACATAGATCAGTCAAATTATATGAAAGTTTAAAAAAAGAAAAGTTTAAATGGAAAAGTTAAATTTTAGATCATGTTTTATAGTATATATATTCTGGTTTAGTTTAATTTAGTAATGTAAAAGCAGAAGAATTAACTGATTTAATAAAATTTGCTATTTAATCAGATATGAAGAATTATTTTATGTTACTTATTAAATATTGTTTAATAACAACAGTTGAATTAGTAATCTTTTTATTTAGTATTATTTAAAAAAACAATAAAAAAAGGAAGATATTGATATTTTATAAGGAATAGTTGCAAGTATTTAAAAATAATCAAGTGAAGAAAATTAAAATTTTTTAAAAAATTTATTATAATGGATGGAAATAAGAAAAGGTTTTATTTTAAAAAATATATATACATATACAAATAAAAATAAAATAGAAATATAATATCTATATATATATAAATATATATATATATATATATATATATAATTATTTTTATTATATTTATATTTATAATATATAAATTTATATCTTTATTTTCAATTGTACTATTTAAAATAGGAATTAAATAATAATAATCAATAAATACAGGCTCAAATACAAAAATACCTTCAAAAGAAATTAATAATAATGAATAATTTAAATAATTAAATAGCTTTTAAAATTCGTTAAGCAATATTTAAG